GCGTGCGAAGCATCCATCTTAAAAATGGATGCAAGTAGGTGTTTCATCTAAAAACAATGGAAACTAACCATCCAAATTTTTTCTTATTAGAATTAATATTTTTAGTTTTTAAAATGTATTTATTTATTCAATTCATGATCTCCATGTTAGAGATTACATGTCCTTGAAAATTAAATCCTAAAATTCATCTAAAAAATAGATTTATTAATAGACCCACATTTTTACATATGCTGCCTTGATCGTATAGAAACCGGATCCTTAAATTTTATAATTAAAGATGAAAATATATTTTAAGGCTATAACAGCGATTTTTGCTATTAAAACTATTTGAGGGTGCGTTTTACTTTGATTGTTGTGAGCCTTGGCTCTATACAAACCTCACCCTTGCGTAAATGCACATTGTGCTCCAGTGGGACTCTATTATATTTTCCGGTCAATTTCAAATTACAGTAGCTCTTGTTCGGAGAGATAATGGCACCCAAGCGGGCCAAAAGCAAGACCGATTCCCCTGCTCCTGCTCCTTCCCATAATGCAAGTGGCGGGGAAAATTTTCCCGCGTCTCTCCGTCTGATTCCTCCGGCCACGGTGGCCGTCACAGTGCATGCCAAACCTGGTTCCAAAGTCGCTTCAATCACAGGTTTCCTTTCCTTTTTGAACTATTCTCGACTTAATTTCTAGGGTTTTCTTCTTATGCTTTTTCTCAGAATTTTACAGTCTTTTTCTTAAGGGTTTTGGCGACTAATGGCCTCTCCTTTAACTTCTGTTTAGGAGACCTCAATTTTTATCTTTAACTTGGCCTTAACCTTCTCTTTCTTCTTCTGCTTCATTGTTGTTGTTGTTCTCTTGGGTTTTTTTCCAGAGAAATAGGAATTTTGTGTTTAATTATTCTTTTTAATGGAATTAGATGTGAGTGGTGATGCGGTAGGAGTTCAGATAGATGCACCTGCGAAGGATGGAGAGGCAAATTCAGCTTTACTTGATTTTCTAAGCACTGTGAGTCTCTGATCATTTCTTATTTATTGTGAGTCTTGAGATAGTACTGGATTTCTATTACCATACGATTAGCATAAAATAATGGGTTAGGTGCCTGCCTTTGATTATTTATAGGAAATTGAAACATAATGAAGAGAAATAAAGCTCACTGGAGTGGATTTCCTCCTTTTTAGTTGAATTTGATTGTAATATGTTTGCATCAATGGTATAGCAAATTTATTGAAGTTCCTGCCTCGTAGAAGTGGCCTTTAGGGTATGAGACATTGGATGAAATATTTGGACCGTAACACAGTTTACAAATGTAGCATAAATTGTTCTTGTTGGCTTTCTTCTGGGGTTCATTCTCAGGGATTTAAGGTATTCTAGACTTTATCGAATGAGTAAGATCAAGTCTAATTCCCTCTGATTTGATTTCTTTCTATCTTATTGCCTTCGTATTTATAGACCACTTCAAAGTGTCATGGAACTAACCATCGTGAAATGCCATGAAACCAAACTCACCAGTTTGCGTTTCTAGTGAGTTTTTTACATTCACATACTTATCAAAATAAGAGTTTCTAGGTTTCAATTGTTTGTTTTGCGAGCCAAGGCCCCTCAAATGAAGAAAGCAGTGCCATAGCCCTTAAATGGCCTTTGGGCACTCTCAAGTGAACTGGGCGATGCAAATACTCTTTGATGGATTTTATTAGAGAAGCTTTTAATGCTTTCACAAAGGATGGCTTCAAAGAACTTCCTTGGTGCATCTTTCCCTTATTTGTGTAGGTGTAATAGTTCAGTGTGTGAATGTTCCGCTCATTTTATCAAATTCCCTGTAATATCCTCTTCATTGTCATTCCAGTTGCTCATTCTTACTTGTGGCTGCATTAAGGTTCAAATTTTGAGGCTGGATTTGCTATAAGATAAAGAAGATTGCTACACTGTCCTAGTGAATTTTCTCTCTAAGTACTTTTCAGAATCCACCTTCCATATCTTGTAACCATTGTGGATGTAGCTAGACATGGAAAAATTCAACATTTTTGTGCAAGTGAACCCCATTTTCATGGCTTTGAAAGGGTTTGAAATCCATATTTTTTTAATCTTTGTTTAATTTCCAGGTTATTGGAGTAAAAAGAAGGCAGTTATCTATAGCTTCTGGTTCAAAGTCAAGGGGCAAAGTGGTACTGGTTGAAGATGTCACTCTAGACAATGTTTATAATGCTTTGAAGAAAAACTGTGATTGTCACTGAAGAAAATTGGATAGCTCAGAGTTTGAACACATAAGTGTTCAATCGAGGACATACCATGCTAAAGGATTCCAAATCAGGGCAGTTTTACATTATATCCTTCAGTCAATTGGGGTTTGCTCTTGTTTTACTTTCATCTTAATCCAATGTATATTCAATCAGATTGAATAGATAAAAGACAAAGCTGTTTTTCCATTTGGAAAGGATGAGCCAACAATGGAGATATGATTTACTTTTTTTTTGAATGAATGTGAACTGAGATATGGTTTGCTTTCAACCTAATGCGGTATTAATGCTTGAGGCCTCAATTGATGCACATGTGCCCCTTCATCCTATCCTGCCATTATATATGCTCGCATTGCCTTTGAAAGAGATACTTTTTTATAGGTTAAATTGGATGGGTTTAAACATGCAAATTATCGTTGCAATATGCTGCTTTAATTGAGACATGGATTTGAACCCAGCATTTTGAAATTAATTCAAAATATGTAATTTTTTTTTAACTTGTTTATCAACTTATAATAAGTAGTAGGGCATATTTTTAAGAGGATAATGAAAAACAATATCAGAAAGACCGAAGCCAAAGGCACGTACGCATTCATCTTACACACTTGATGAGTGGTGAGACCTCGAATATGTCTTGTAGAAAGAGAAGATTTGTTTATCCCATCTTCTAGGAAGAGACTCTCCGTTACATCTTTATTCAATCTTATCATCCTTTGTCTTACTCCCCTCAATGTTTTGGCTCCCCTATTATTGTCTGTGTCAAGATCCACGGTTTACTGGAAAATTCATCAAAGATTTTTAGCTTAATAGAATAGTCTACATGAAGCTTGATTTCTCACCTTTTTTTTTTTTTGGTAAAGTAAGTGGGGATAGGGCCCTTACCCAATTTCATTAAATAAAAATAAGAAATTACAAGCAATTTAAGTTTCAACCCCATTGTAGGGCGTTCCAGCTACATTGGAAGACAAGGCCTGGTTTTCTCATGAGAGTTTTCAACCCGGTCCTTTCCCCTGACATACTGAGGATTACAGCATTAGATGAAAAGGCTGGTAGATAATATGATGGCTAAAATCCACCTTTTGCATTTTGGACTGTCTCCATGCACTATGATCAGGATCCATCATTTTTTAGTTGGAAACTTAATTTCGCTAACTCAAACTCATTCAATACATAACAGAGCTTCAGATAGAGATTGTTATCTCAGTGTAGTGTCCGCGGTTAGTTAACTGAAAAATGAAGCACAATGTCCAGAGCTTCATTTTGGGCATTATTTTGTCAAACTGAATCATAAATATCAAAGATATTTTATTAGAAAATTGTACTATGTTATGTGATACATAAATACACGTAAGAGAGAGGGAGAGAGAGAGAGAGAGAGAGATCTCACTCAGACAGGCTTGGATTAGGTGGGCGAGGTATTTCAACCAGGCCTTCAAGCATGGATACGACTTTCCTCATGGAAGGCCTCATGTTTGGATTGTCTTGCATACACCACAATCCTACCATCACCAGCCTCTCCAATTCACACTGCTCTACTTCCTCTTCCCTCACCAATTTCTCCAATTCTCCCCGTTCAAAACAATCGTTAACCCAGTCACTTAATAGGATTTCCTCATCGGCTACACCAATCTCTAGTCTCTTCCTACAGCATATGATCTCTAACAACATGATGCCGTAGCTATACACGTCCACTTTTGCAGTGATCGGCATATTTTTGTGCCATTCAGGAGCCCAATACCCCCTCGTCCCCCTAAGAACTGTCATAGTCCTTGTTTGATCGGGGCCCATAAGCTTTGCAAGCCCAAAATCAGATATCTTAGGCATTTTCTTCTCATCCAAGAGTATGTTTTGAGGCTTTATGTCGCAATGTATGATCTGTGTCTCACACTCTTCGTGCAAGTATAGGAGTCCCCTTGCTATTCCTAGAGAGATTTGGACCCTCTGTGCCCAATTTGGCCTCATTTCTCTCTTTAAGAGTAGGTTTGCAAGGGACCCATTGCTCATGAACTGGTAAACAAGAAGTCGGTGAGTGCTTTCATCACAATAGCCAAGCAATCGAACCAAATTCTTATGATGGGTCTTCCCAATTGTGGTCACCTCTGATTGAAACTCTTTCTCTCCATCTTCCACTATCTTCTCAAGCTTCTTCACTGCAATGCTAACACCATTGGGCAACTGCCCTCTGAAAACTGTCCCGAAAGCCCCTCTTCCTAAATTCTCCTTAAACCCCCCTGTGGCCTTTTCGAGCTCGCCATGACTAAACGATCTCAAATTGGAGTCTTCTGCTCTAGATTTGCTCTGTTTTGGAAGCCTCTGATACCTTCGGTACCGTGAGTAAATGAAAAGAAAGACTGAAACTAATACAAGAATAAAAAAGGAAATGGTGAGTGCAATACCAATCCATAGCATCTTATTTTGTGATTGTTTCAAGCCATTTCCTCCGACTTTTATAAAGGCATTTGTTAAATTTTGGAAATCAGGCATCATATATCTCAAAGGAAGAGATTGCTTGCTACAAATTTGGTCTTGAAATAGAACAGCAGCACACTCACAATCATTCAAGCAATCTTGCCTGCAACTCTGTTCATTCGTAACCACAGCTTCATAAGAGTTATCAATCCATATTGTGTTTTCCAAAGGAATCATTTCAAAGCTGTTGCTTCCACTTTTGTCTCCACATTCTGCATCCACAAATTTCTTCTTGCAACCTTGAGAACTATCATCTTGGTTTATAGACTCAAAACCAACTGGGCAATGGCAACTATAATTGGTGCTCTTTTGTAGACAATAGCTATTGAACCCACATCTGCCTTTAATCTCGCACGGGTTTTGCTCTGAGATTGCAGACCAAATAATTGAGCTGCTCATGGTTCCATTTGCCTCTAAATTGTGAGAGAACAATTGAAAATTCCCTTCAATTCCAACTGTTGCTCTATATATAGACCTTCGAGCTTGTGAGTTTGTTATGTTCTTTATGTTTGAACTATTTGCATCAATTAGATACATATGTCCATCTGGGTCTAGATTCAGTGACACATTGGTCCCTCCATTATATGTATCACTAGACCAGTATACGTCGTCAGATGTAATGTAGGTCTTTGCTCCCTGTACAACATAAGCGAGCACCAAATTGGCATCCACTTGCATTACTAGCCGATACTTACCAGTCGAGTAATTGGATTCTGAGACTTTAGAGGCAAGATTGAATGCATTCTTCAGGCTCTGACCAGATAAAATTGAGTCCGTTGGTGAATCAAAGGTTGCCCAAATTAAATGAGACTGTGAATTGTACAAAACAAAGTTGCCATTATCAAACAAGGAGGCTAGAGAAGCTGGTAATGAGTTATCCGATATGGGTGTTTCTTGGGTTTGACTGTCTCTCAATATGAGCCTGCCATCAGTATTTAGGATGATGGAGTAGCCATTAGAGAGAGGAGGAGAATCTCTGTTTGCAAACCAAACCAGAGTTTTTTCAGGGGTGTTTTCAAGCCAAATTCCAACCAAAAATGTTTGGGTGATAGAGAGAGGATAGAAGCCAAAGGCAAAGTTACCAGAGGGGGAAAGCCAGAAACTTTGATTGTTACCAGTTGGGGTCGTGGAGAGAGAAGACCCCAAGCTTATGTTTCTTGATGCACTGAACTGGGCCTCTACTCGTGTAGAAGAGAGAGAAATGGTAGCAAGGAAAAGGAGAATCAGCACTGAATGAAAGGGAGCCATTGATACAGTAAGAAAATGTACAGGAATGTTCATTATATGGGAAAGTGTTAAATGCATGATTTGCAAGGGAAGTTAAGAAAGAAACTTCTCAATGAGAAAGTGGTAAATGCATGATTTGCAAGGGAGGTTAAGAAAGAAACTTCTCAATGAGGCGGATCCTATATTCTATCCAAAACCGTGTGGAAAATGAGAGTCGAGTCAATGCATTTGTTAAGTCGGAAGTCAAGCCCTAAGGAGATTGTCTACTTGAAAAAACGTAAAAATATTTGAAAGAAACTTCTCAATGAGAAAGTGGTAAATGCATGATTTGCAAGGGAGGTTAAGAAAGAAACTTCTCAATGAGGCGGATCCTATATTCTATCCAAAACCGTGTGGAAAATGAGACTCAATGCATTCGTTAAGTCGGAAGTCAAGCCCTAAGCAGATAGTCTACTTGAAAAAACGTAAAATATTTGAAAGAAAACCCACCCACCGGACGTTCCAAAGGTGTCCCCATTGACTGAAGAAAGTTAGGGAAATTTTTTTGAGAAACAATAAAAGTAAGGGAAATTTACATAGATGGGAAAGTATTTCTGGTTTTACAAAAGAGAATGATTTCATGCATCAGTTGCATAATAATATGATGCAATAACCTTCAAAAATCATGTTATGGCCATTTGTTTGATCTAAAATTTGAAATATACATTCTTCCATTCTCATGAACAATCACAAAAGAGAAAAAAAAATTGAAAACGCAACCTAGAAAGTATTTTTTTTAGCCCAATTAACATAGGCCGTTCATTTTGGTGAGATGATTAGATCTAGATTTTAGAGGGATTTTTTCATTTCCAATTTTTTTGGATGGTTGTATTATCATTAGATGAACAATGTTAAAAAAGAAAAAATTGATTTTGAGTTGATAAAGGCCAATATCTTGAAATTCACCAAATGAGTGGTCTAGATTCGTTTTTCGAGGGGACCCATTTTGAGCATATTTAGGATTCAAATTAACCATTTTTTTTTGGGAGGGATTGATTATTGAGATGAAAAGAGTGTTTGTGCAAAATTTTGGGTCATACAAATACTACAAACATGGTCTATATTTTTCTCAAATTTATACAGAGGCTTTGGCGTTTTTATTTGTTGTTACAAACATCAAACATATTTTTTATTTTTATTGTTTTCAAGACGGTTTGATGTTATGAATATCGGACGAACCTATATATGAGATGGTTTGACACTGGAAATGTCGAACTGTTCAATCGTCCTTGGTGGGTATGAATAGAATGTATGAAACATTTGACAGTTTTTAGTTATAAAAAATAACAAAATTGGGCAGTCCGACCACAAATCTCAAAAGTGATGCAATCATGTTACTTTTCTATCACAAAATAAGTTGTAGGACATATTCGTAATTCAAAACAGTGTTAGAAAGGTCAACTAAGGCCGAATACCTGGCCCATGCCCGCGCTGAGTACTAGTAAATTTGTGTTAAAAATTTTTTGTATCTTTGGAATATATGATCAATTAGACTCTAGGTCTAGAAACTAATAGGCTTTTTTATTTTCAGCATGGCCCAAAAAACACACTTTACTTATCTAATACAAGTCTAAGTTTAGGCCTCTTATGTCAGGTTTATGTGGCTTTTAAAGGCCTTATGAGTGTGTATTGAAATACTTTTATAGTGAAACATAAACTCAGGGGGAGTGTGGTCCCTCGAGGACCATACTAAGCAACTGATGTTTGCTTATACCGGACTGTGCTTATCGACCTACGCCAGACGGTTGGAAAACCCAAGGTACCTGGGCATAAATAATAAATCGAGAAGGGTTTTGGGTTAGCCCTTAATGAGGTCGGAGCTTATGCCTAGATGAGTGAGTCAATGGACTGTGTGACCCTTGTGTGTGATGGTAGACCTATTGAGACGGGGGCCAAAACCTCATCCATGTTCCATCATATGGCATGCATATTGATAGATCGTTCGGGAAAGCCAGATATCTACCTTGAAGTGTATGCATGTGCGAGAGATACCCCTATGCGTTATAGATCTGTGGTCGCATCAGGTCGTGGTGACCTTAACTCGTCTCTAAGGGAGGACTTGTAATCCACAGACTAAGATTACGGCCCCTTGATTCATCGACCCATCATGTGGTATGTGGGTGGGGGCCCACATGTGCCACAAAAGGGTGGCACGCCCCACCCTCTTTAGATTCTCTTGTTTAAGATAATATTAATTTGATTTGTGGCATGTGGTCAAATCTTGGAAGGAATATATTGACCATGGTTTTATCTATTTTGTAGCAAGTTTGTTTTAAAGAGATATGGTCAATTTGAATTGATATGGATCTTATCTTATTTATACTTGGTAGTATTTATCTACTTGATATTATTTGACATATCTTTATGGAATATGCGACATAGATCATGCAATTTTATAGAATGCATGATATTTGTTTTATTTAAATATATTGATGGGAAAATGGTTTAAAGAAAAGGGGATAATGGTCCAAGCACCTTCCATAACGTTGATGGCCCATTTATGGAATGGATGGCTCAGATCTCTCACCCCACAAGTCACATTGATCAACGGTCTAGATTCAATATCATGAAAGAGGCAAACTATGGAAAAACCCTAAGAAACCCTAAACCTAAATATTCACTATAAATAGAGGTGCTCTCCCCCCAATCTCAATAGAACATCTCTCTCTCCCATAACCTCTCTCTCTCCTAGAGGGGCATGCCCCACTCTCTCTCCTCTGTCTTTCTCTCTCTAATTTGCTCTCTTCAAATTTTAGATGGTACTCTCTCTCCTCTATAGATCTAAGTTAATTTTGGGGGTTAAAATTTTAGTAGAGTTTTTAAGGGTTGAGTACCTAGTTTGGCCGAAATCAGTTAACCCGGTTCGAGATTAAAGCTAGACCACAGATCTCGTGCCATTGGAGGTGGTGATTCAGTGTGGGGTGTAAAAATCTCAGTTGAGATAAACTCCGACATCTTTTCTTTTATTTGTCAAGTTCTTTTCTTTTATAGTCTGAAGCACAATATTAGGTTGTAAGAATGACATCAAGTAGTTGAGAATTTTTTTTTTTTTGAAATTTCTATTGTTTGCAATAAGACCATCTGTGAGTGATATTGTTGCCAAAATGGTAAGGGGTGATTATTATCAAAAAAAAAAAAACTGTGTTTCCCCGGTAAAAGATCAAATAGGTCTTTCTTTCATTGGTATCAGAGCTAGTTTTACTTGATTGCCATTATGAGTCTTTTTTTATTTTTTGCTTGAGAATAGAAATATATGGCTTCTCGTACCTTCATCTCTGAGATCCTGAAAACCGAAAGGTTTGCTGGGACCAACTTTGCTTCATGGAAAAGAAAAATAAAATTTGTGTTCTATGAAGAAAACTTGTAGGGGGTACTCTTTGAGGACCGACCTCGTCGTCCAACTGACGACTCATCGCAAATAATCAAAGATGATTACGCCAATTGGAAGAGGAGGAACTTGAGATGCAAACACATTCTTTTATGTGCCATGACTGACTCGTATGCTTTTGAGTACGAGTCAATCTATACTGCAAGTGAGATTTTTGATAAACTTGAAAGAGAGTATGCTGAACCCTCTCTCATGAAGCAAACTATGGCTATGAGAAGGTACAATGATTTAAAAATGGTAGAAGGTACCAAGTTTGCAAATCATGTGCATGTGTTTCGTGCGCTAGTCAGAGATTTGAAAGATACAGGCATGAAGCCCAATGAATCTATGCAAGTGATTCATTTAATGAATTCTCTTCCTAATTCATGGGAGACTTTCATATCTTCCATCTCTACTAGAAGAAAGACACCAAAATTGGAGGAACTCATCACGATCATCAAATCTGAAGAAGAAAGGAGGAGTTCAAGGCAAACCCCAAGGAAAGGGAAGACATACTTTTCAAAAGAAAAAATATTTCAAAAGAAGAGATTTTGAAAATAAGGGAGCAAAGAGAGAGACTCGAATTTGTTTTATTTGCAAGAAGGTGGGCCACATAGCCAATAGTTGTCGGTTCAACAAATCTAGTGGAACTAACAAGGAATTGGCATGTGTGGTTTTCGAGTCCATGCTAGTTGACCCTAAGGGAGTTTTTTGGTGTCTTGACTCGGGGGTTACGACCTATGTCACAAACACCAATGAAGTTACCGTTCTTTTACTCCCATGGGGTCAAGACAGCAGCATATTTATATGGGAGGAAATCAGTTTGGAGTTGGAGATTTTGAGCTGAAACTGAAGAATGGGAACACCTTGATCTTAAAGTAAGCACTTTATGTTCTTGATATGAGGAAGTGCTTTGTTTCGGTTCCTAAGATGTCCATAACTGTATTCATAACCACTTTTATCGGGGAGAAAGTGGTGGTCAAGAAGGGGAAAGATGACATCATGACCGGACGACTTGTAAACGGGCTATTTACTATTGAAATAAAAGAGAACGTTGCTTATATCTCGTCCACTAATGAATTAAATGCTACCCTATGACATTTGAGGTTATGACACATTAATATCAAACGAATGGAAAGATTAAAAAGGGACGGGATTCTTCAAAATTATAAGGGAGATTTATCGAAACTGTGCGAGTCTTATGTGCAAAGAAAACTAATAAGAAAAAATGCTACCAGGGCAAAAAGAGCTACTAGCGTATTGAAAATTATTCATAGTGACATATGTAGATATATGAATGTGACCACCAAAAGTGGAAAAAATATATTTTATCTCTTTTACAAATGACCACTCGCGATATGGCTATGTGTACCTTATTCTTGCAAAATCAGAAGCCCTAGAAAAATTCAAAGAATATAAGGCTTAAGTAGAGAACCAAACCAACCTGAAAATTAAAGTCCTTAGAACCGATATATGGGGGGAGGGGGGAGAATATTCATCTGACATTTTCAAAGAACTGTGCATTAAAAATGAGATCATCTATCAGTATACCATAGTTTATACTCCTGAACAAAATGGTGTAGTTGAAAGAAGGAATAAGATTTTAGTAGAAATGGTAAGGAGTATGATGGGCCATGTAAATCTCTCATTGGAGTTTTGAGGAGAAGCCATATTAATGGCATGTTACATCCTTCACCGGACTCTCACAAAAGCTACCCCACT